TTTTTTTCAAATATCAGATAATTAGGTAAATGGTATCAAAACCACGTGCAAATTTCCTGTTATAACAGAACTTTTAGTTTTACTGAGGACCAGGTACGATAAGATTCAGTTTTATGATTTGCTAAACAGCAAATTATATTAATTATACTATGTACGGTCAGTAAGCTAGGTTATACAACTCGTTTAACTACATATTTTCAGTGATGAAACACGCCAACAGTTCAACGCGTATAAATTAAACGGCCAATAACTTTAAATCACTGTCAGTCGGAAGTGCTCCATAGTTTTAGTTCATTACATGAGAGTTAGTACATGCAATTACTAGTTTCTATATCTATCGATCCGTTACCGTTATAGCTTAAAATCCACTGTTTAAAAATTGGCTTCTCCCGATGATTGCCTTGTAGGCAATTATTTATTATTTTTATTTACTATAGCTTCCACGCTTGTCTCGCGGGTTGGCAACCACAGATTTATTTTTAGTCGTTATTAGAAAGACCCGTCTCCTGATTTGTTTCTTCTGTCGCCTCTAACGAAACCCATGGGATGATATGGGGTAGTGACAACCTACATCATGTATGTATAATGTATTTTGTAATATCTTTGTAGCATATCATATTTATCTACTATTTAGCTTGATGGGTCTTTAAAAAAACGACATGAAAGAAAATATCTGCGGAGTTACCCCGGTTCTTTTTCGGGAAGAGGGATCTCATTTTGAGACTTTCATTTTCTTTTTTTTCATATGTGCAAAGTTCCGCTCAACACAATAACTGCTCGGGGCAAACTGAGCAACAAGACCAAGGCGACCCCTGCCACACTATCCGTGAATTTCTGCAACATCAGGGGACACTCGAACCTAAACGCCGTCCACTACCATTTAAAGATAGCGAAGTCGGCCTTGCTCTTTCTGACCGAGACGCAGTTGTCCTCTCCGGGTGATACTTCGTATCTCTCCTACCCGGACTACAAATTGGAGCACTTCTTTATGCCTCGGGCTGGAGTTTGCGTGTATGTCAGTGAGGACATCTGTTCTCGACGCCTCGGCAGTCTTGAAGGTTCGGACCTGTCCATCCTATGGCTATGCGTAGACAGCGACGAACATCCGCGCGTCTACGTGTGCCTCTATAGGTCCCATAGCGGGAATGCCGAAACAGACCGACTCATCGACCACGTCCAAATGGCTACAGATTCCTTGCTACAACAGGTCCCATCCGCAGAGATCGTGATCCTTGGCGATTTTAACGCCCACCACGCCGAATGGCTCGGTTCACGTTTAACCAATCATGCAGGGAGATCTGTTTATGACTTTGTCACTGATGTGGTGCTCCAGGGAATGAAACTATTTATTCCATCATCTGTGGTACCCATCGGAGGCAGATCTCAGCCTTGGTTTGGTCACTCCTGTAAGACTGCATTACGCAGTAAGCAGGAGTGTTATCAAGCCTTGGCTGCGACTCGGGATGTAAACACCAGCACACTTAAAAAGAAGTATAACTTCGCCTCCAGGTCCTTCAAAAGAGTTATTGCTAAGGCAAAGTCAGAGCACATAGGCGGAATGGGCGAGAAACTAGTTCGCCTTCCTTCGGGAACCCGTGCATTCTGGTCTCTCGCCAAAGCTGTCCAAGGGAATTTCTGTAAGCCATCACTACCATTTCCGCACAGGAAGGACGACTCACTGGCCCACGAAGCAAAAGAGAAAGCCGACCATTTAGGCTCCCTTTTTGTGTCCAACTCGACTGTTGATGACGGGGAAACGCACTGCCGACCATCCCGCGGTGTGAGTACTCCATGCCGGATGTGCGGTTCTCACAGCGCTCGGTTCGCAGAGCACTCCTCTCCCTTGACATCCACATGTCGAGTGGGCCTGACGGAATCCCCCCAATTGTGCTGAGGACGTGTGCTACGGAGTTGGCACCGGTTCTAACTCGTCTTTTCCGGTACTCCTACTCCCTAGGCGTAGTCCCAAAATCATGGAAGACAGCTTTTCTCCACCCGATCACTAAAAAATGTGACCGCTCAGACCCGTCCAACTACAGGCCTATCGCCATCACCTCCTTATTCTCCAAAATAATGGAATCCGTTATAAACTGCCGCCTCATGCGGTACCTTGAGGATCACCAGCTGATTAGTGACCGCCAGTACGGTTTTCGTCGGGGTCGATCAGCTGGTGATCTTCTGGTCTACTTAAATCATAGATGGGCGGAGGCAGTAGAGTCCACGGCATTGGCCGTTAGTTTGGACATTGCGAAGGCCTTTGATCGGGTTTGGAACAAAGTGCTTCATTCGAAGCTCCCTTCCCTTGGGCTTCCCGAGAAATCATGCAATTAGATCACCAGCTTTCTTACAGATCGGAGCATCAAGGTAGTTGTAGATGGTGCATGCTCCGACTACAAGCCTATTAACGCTGGTGTTCCACAAGGCTACGTGCTATCACCAACGCTGTTCCTTCTGCATATCAATGATATGTTGCAAGCCGGTAGCATTCATTGCTATGCGGATGACAGCACTGGTGATGCTCTATACACCGGCCGTGCTAATATTTCTCGGGAAAACGTCACCGAGTACCGGAACAAACTTGTGTCTGAAGTCGAGTCTTTGCTGGACAAAGTCTCGGATTAGGGGCGACTAAATCTAGCCCAGTTTAATGCTCAGAAGACACAAGTTTGCGCGTTTACCGCTAAAAGGAACCCCTTTGTCGTATCTCCTCAGTTTCAAGGTACTCCCCTTGTTGCCTCAGCCAGTATCGGTATCCTCGGCGTCGACATATCGAGTGACGTGCAGTTTCGTGGTCACTTGGAAGAGAAGGCCAAATTGGCCTCTAAAAAGCTTGGCGTGCTCAGCAGAGCGGGACAGTATTTCATGCCAGCTCAACGCCTGCAACTTTACAAGGTGCAGGTTCGGCCTCACATGGAATACTGTTCCCGTCTCTGGGATGGGGCTCCCCAGTGCCAGCTCCTTCCACTTGACCGCATCCAGCGCAAAGCGGCTCGAATCGTCGACGACCGAGTCCTTTCCGATCGGCTCGACTCATTGGCACTTCGAAGAGATGTTGCATCTATTTGCATTTTCTTTTGCATTTACCATGGGGAGTGCTCTGAGGAATTGTTCGGATTAATCTCAGCCGCCAAATTTCACGAACGCACATCGCGGCAGAACTCCCGATACCATCCACACCATCTGGATGATTGGCGGTCCACCACTGTGCGATTTAGAAGATGTTTTCTTCCTCGCACAACTTTCTTGTGGAATAGTTTACCAACAGCGACTTTTCTGGACTGATACGACTTAGGAACCTTCAACAAAAGAGCCTACTACTTTTTAAAAGGCCGGCAACGCATCTGCAATTCCCCTGGTGTTGCGGTTGTTCATGGGCAGCGGTAGTCACTTACCATCAGATGAGCCGCATGCTCGTTTGCCCCCTCTCCTATAAAAAAAACGAATGGGTTGCTTGGGAAGGACCACAATCTCACAGAATACCAACGTAAAATACCAGCTTTGTTTCGTATAGTGAGTGTAGAGGACCGGAAACCCTTTTTACTGATAACGAGGCATTCCATCCTGGTCCTCAGGGATGACAACGCATCAACATTTTGATTTCTAATCGTAAATAGATGTAAATGTCTATGAGCCACATCATCCAATTATCATCAGGTGGACTGTGTGCCCGTCTGTTAATCATATTTTATATTATAAAGTTTTTGACTTCATCGTCGCGCGCTGCGTAACGATCGAGACGCTAAGTTAATCTACGAATAAAAATTAAAAACTGGTGCTAAACTTCAAGTTTCGTCCTCAAACATACATAGTGTTATAGTACAAGTAATACGTAACATAATGATACTTAAATCTGTGTGAAGTGCTTAGTTTATTTGTGTTAAAATCAAAATAACTTGTGTGTTCGTGCGGTACTCCTCAATTATTATCAAGTTATAAAGTCATAAGTTGAACTGTGGACCCTTTAATACCTCGTACAAACATATACGCATCTCAATAAGTGATTAACCATACTCTATATTTCGTCGCTCAGCAAGGACAACAGCTAGCGAAGCGGAGTTACGGTCAGATTTAAATACTAGCAATTATATCGCTGGAGGACCTAAGCACTATGCTCAATGACCTCAATAGTGTTTCCCAACGGATAGGTCTTAAGATGAACATGGACAAAACTAAGATCATGTTTAATGTCCATGTCACACCTATGCCGGTAGTTGTTGGGAACACTAAGCTCGAAGTTGTTGACGAGTATGTTTACCTGGGACAAATAGTCCGACTAGGTAAGTCCAACTTCGACCGAGAGGTCAATCGACGGATTCAACTCGGCTGGGCAGCGTTCGGGAAATTACGGCACATCTTCTCGTCAGGTATACCTCAAACCTTGAAAACGAGACTGTACACCCAGTGCGTGTTGCCAGTGATGACATACGGAACTGAGACGTGGTCCTTCACTGCTGGCCGGATGAGGAAGCTCAAGGTCGCTCAGCGAGCTATGGAGAGGGCTATGCTCGGAGTTTCTCTGCGTGATAAACTTAGGAATGAGGATATCCGCAGTAGAACCAGAGTAACCGACATAGCCAAACGGATTAGTAAGCTGAAGTGGCAATGGGCCGGGCATATAGCTCGAAGAACCGACAACCGATGGGGAAGAAAGGTTCTCGAGTGGCAGCCTCGTACCGGTAGGCGAAGTGTAGGGCGTCCCCCCACGAGATGGAGTGACGACCTGGTAAGACATGCAGGAAGTCGATGGATGCAGGTGGCTCAGGACCGTGCTTTGTGGCATTCTTTGGGGGAGGCTATGTTCAGCAGTGGACTTGTGAAGGGCTGTAATGAATGAATGAATAAATGAATTATATCTATAGTTCGAACCCGGGCACTACAATTTTTTTTTACAATTTTTTTTAATTATTATTTAACTTTTCTTTTTGTCTCCGTTGGGAGAAGGCAAATAAAAACATTTTTATTATTATTTTGTAACCCGAAAGAAGTCAAAGAAGTGCAAAATGATCTGCGGGGGTTGCCGTCTATTACTGAACACAGATTGTTCCTTACATTGTTACACTTGTGATATCAACTATCACTATGAATGCTTAAATATAAAGAAGGAGCAGTTAGTGTTGCTTTCGAATGAATTTCGTTCCTCTTGGACTTGCCCTGCATGTGTGAATATAACAAGACGTGTGAAGACTAACTTGCGCCCACCTGTGCGTCATAATCAGATACCATCTATGGAACAGTCTATGGACTTATCGTGCGAGATCTTGAACAAAAGTGAGGCGCACATACCATCAGATTCGGTCTCCATCGAGAAATTTAATGAACTGCTTAGTACTATCAATTTGTGGCGTAACGATATGAACTCTAATATAATGAGTATCAGAGATGAAATTAAGAATGATATGAACTCTAACTTTATGAGTATTAGAGACGAAATTAAAAATACGTTAAGCGACATCCAATCAGAAATTAAGTCTCTCCGAGAGGAGCATGCCACCCTGAGACAAAATGTTTCTAATATAAACATTGAATTATCATCCCTTCAAAACTCTATTCAATTTCAATCTGACGAACATGGTACTCTGAAACAAAGAGTCGATGAAATCGCACGTGTTGCTAGCGAATAGACCACATCAGCAACTGCTGTATAGAACTGACTCCCTGGAACAACAAGCTAGACAGACAAATGTTGAAATCTGCAACGTACCCGAGCGTAGAAATGAAAACCTCATAGGTATCATCGAAGCCATTGGAACAGCGATCCGCTTCCTCATTTCAAAGGCAGACTTAGTGTCGATACATCGGGTTCCTCACGCACACAGCAAAAATGATAGACCTAAAAACATCATTGCTAAATTTAGCATACGTATACAGAGGGTTAATATAATTGCTGCATATCGTAAAGCAAAATCACTGAGGTCTGATCAGCTCGGCATTCAGGGCCAATCTACCACTATATATTTGAATGAACATCTTACACTACAGAAGAAACAGTTATTTCGTAAATGTCGGGAGGTTGCAAAGGAACTACACTACAAGTATTCCTGGATCAGAAACTCCGCCATTTTTGTTAGAGAAAAAAAACGACTGTCCAGCACTGGTCATCCGAGGAGAAGAAGACCTCAAAAAACTTCGAATCACTAAAAAGTAGTGGCTGTACTAATTCGATAAGTCTAGTCATAATTATATTTATAACGTTTTATTATCTTTTTGTGTATATGATCAATTTCATCATCTGCACTGACTGCTGTTTTCTCAATACTTGCTTAAAAGATCGACTGATCGACTTACCCATCTGTTTGAGCAATCAGGAATATTTCCCACTATTTTTATTTTTCAATCTTAAAATTATAACAAAAATCTTTTTCTCATCATATACTAACCATTACTATCTGGCTTTCTACTGTACAATAAGGTACAAATATATGCTACAAATAGCTTGTGTTCACAATCAACACTATCTTAGCAAAATGAACATAGTACAATGCTGTATTCTGTACCAAAAGTAATCATTTTGTAAAATTGTGATTTGTGTAACTTTTCTTTATGTGTGTGTCAATAAATTATTAAATTAAATTAAATAAAGCAGATTTTGACCTCATTAATTCCAAGCTTGAAAACACAAATTGGATGGAACTACTGCAAACGCTTCCATCTGAAGCCTGCATTGAAACATTTTATAAGACCATAGATGACATCATAAAACAACATGCGACACGTTCTAGTTCTCGCTCCGGAGGATTTCCTGGTTTTCACGTCCTCTGATTAAAACATTTAAATGTAAACAAAAAGCCTGTACTAAGTGGAAGAAATATAAAAACCCAAGTGACTACGTACAATTTTCGCAATATAGAAATACCTTCAAGATCCAATGCAAACAGTGCTATCGTAGGTATATGAACACTGTAGAGGAAAATATAACTAAAAATATAAAACATTTTTGGACCTATGTATCGAGTTGTAAAACTGAGACTAAAATCCCGTCTACTTTGCATTACCACAACCTTAAATCTAACGACCCCGAGACGGTCTGTAACATGTTCTCTGACTTCTTTCAATCGGTATTTGAACACTCTTCCCCTTCTCTTTCGCATTGGCAGCCTCCATCCTGTACCTCAAGTCACGATATTTTAATTTCTAATCTTTACTTCACTGAAACTGAAATTCTAAATGAACTCAAAAATTTAGATACTTCCAAGGGTCCTGGTCCAGATGGCCTTCCTCCACTCTTTTTCAAACAAACTGCTGAAAATATGTATAAGCCTTTGCATATTATCTATAATAAGTGTTTGTCAGAGAGTGTTTTTCCTAGGAAGTGGAAACACGCAAATATAACTCCAGTTCATAAAACTGGGTCAAAACATGATGTTGAACAGTATCGCCCCATCTCTATTCTCTCCATCTTGCCGAAGGTCCTCGAAAAATTAGTTCACAACCAAATTTACCCGATTCTACATAAGGCTATCATTGAAGAACAACATGGTTTCGTTAAACATAGATCTACTACTAGTAATCTATTAACCTTTACGAATAATTTATTTGAAAGATTTGATGACGGCTTTCAAGTAGATGCTGTATATACAGATTTTAATAAAGCTTTCGACAAGGTGGATCATGAGATTCTTCTTAACAAGATTGCATTCAACGGTATTCGTGGTAATTTGCTGCGCTGGTTCGCATCCTATATTCAAAACTGTACCCAAAAAGTTGTAGTAAATGGATATCAGTCAAGAGACGTTTTGTTTACATCTGGCGTTTCTCAAGGATCCATTCTTGGACAGATGTTATTTATTATTTTTATTAATGATATAGACAAATGTTTCCTTAACTCCAATTTTCTTTTATATGCCAATGACCTAAAAGCATACAAAACTATTAAAGACATAGATGACTGTTTATCTTTCCAAAGCGACCTTGATAGATTGACAACATATTGCAACATTAATAAATTACAATTAAGCATTCCGAAATGTCAATACATAAGCCTTACAAAAAAGAAAAATATTGTCCATTTTAAATATATCCTCTGTAAAAAGTCCTTGACCAGAGTGACAGACTTAAGGGATTTGGGGATTCAGTTAGACTCTAAGCTACAACTAAACATCCATATTGATAAAATAGTCAAACAAGCTTTTAAAATGTACGGATTTGTAATGAGAACTTCTACTGATTTTAAACGAACAACCACATACTTATACCTCTATAAAACCCTTGTTCATTCCCAGCTTGAATATGCTGTACCTATATGGAATCCCTACTATATAGCATACAAAGAAGCTATTGAGAAAGTTCAAAATAAGTTTTTGCGTGCCATGTACTATAGATGCCATAAATCTTACATGTCTCGTATCCCAGCTGAGAGAATTTGGTGTTTTGTCGCTTGAATGTAGACTTAAATATCTTGAAGCCAAAACATTGTATAAAATAGTCAACAACAAATTTTGCAGTACTGAGTTAGTTTCCTATTTAAATTTTGCAGTTCCTAGAAGTGCTCATATACGAGCTATGCGCACTCGTAACTTGTTCGCCGTCAGTACATGTCGTACATATACCGGCTTGCGCGCGCCAGTTCGCCGTATGATGTATACCTTTAACGAGTTTTTCAATGATGGTAATATAGACTTGTTTACACCTAATGTTCTTGCTTTTAAAAGATCTATATTTGACAAACTAAAAATTTAAAAATAATATTATTTTAGCTCCATGTATTTTAGTTTTTAGTTATTAAGTTTTTATCCAGCATGTGCGACAATTTCATTTAACTTTGTAAGTAATATGTGGATAGCGTTGTGGGCTACATTATTGTGTATACATCATGTTATTGTATTTTAGATATTACTGTATTTTGTAGCTGTTTGCTGTTCCTTAATAAATGAAATAAAATAAGAAATAAAAAAATATAATTACTATAATATATATGTATATAGCTACTTTAAAAGTATTTATGTATGTATATATGTATATAGATACCTAATATTATTTGTACGTGATAAAGCTGGGTTCATATTATCATTATGCTTTTCACAAATGCTGTTACGTTGCGTGTTGTGGTATTTTAGTACTATTATTATTCTGTGGTTGGGGCGTTATTCCGTCAAGTAGGTCAGTATTAATATTTGTGTTCATCTTTGTTTGGTTTTGTGACGAACTTTAGCATGTTTTTAATGAATCGTGTACACTATCACTAAGACTACACTAGGAAAAACACACCACTGTTCATAATATGACACGAATTTCGCATATAAAAGAGGCATAACAGGAGACGTAGACTGCGATTTTTCACCACTATGTGTCTGTTTATACGTTCACATATATATCTGCAAAGAATTTTGCTTGTATATTATAGAAACCACTATAATCTATAACATAGGAACTACAAATATAGAATAAGTAAATAAAGAATTAACGATGCATGTATTGGACCACACACAATAAACGGATGTCCTTTCAAGTTTCAAGACTACACTAATTTGTTATAACTTTCAAACTTTATTGTATTACAATAACATAAGATCCATTTTTGTTTGATGTCAGTTAGTATTAATTTTATGCTACTGTTTGTCGCCTAATATAATTTGATAGTGATCTCGGTACGTTCTTTGATCCTGTGCCACACACGTGCACTTTTATCTAAATAAATGCAGAAACACGTCATGGGACAACTCACAGGCCTGGTATGACGTGACATATTTAACGGTAACGCACCATAACTAAACAAAATAAGTATTCTTGTAAAACGAACACTTAAAAATGTAGAAAATATTGCTTAGTATTGTCAAGTCTATATTGTTTCAATTCGATCTTAATTATAACAAGAGTTTAACACATGTCACAGGTTTTCTTACCCTACCATATTTATTATATCAATTTGATTACAGTCCATAAAATCAAATACATAAAATCTATTTGTTAATAATTTCTACAGCCGTAACTTGCAGTAAAATAGGCTGTCAAAACGACGACTTACGTAGGAGGTCAAAAAGAACGCTGTTATTCTATGAGAGTGTAGACCTTCCCCTGTCGAGCCGATCTATTCGTACTAAAACCATAATATAGCTGCAGCGTGGCTCTGCCAAGCAAAATTCAATCTTTATAATTATTCTACATACACATTTCACAGGTTTTCTTACCCTACCATATTAACTACTAACTGATACCCGCGACTTCGTCCGCGTTGCTTGATATAATTAAAACTTTAATAACTTTATATTATATAAGATATCGCAATATTTTTTAAGATAAGGGCCAAGTGTCAAAGAAATGAAACCTAATTGAAATCTATACAGTAGTTTTTCTGTGATGCGCGCACAACTGCAAATTATTAATATTAATATCAAATTAATTACAGTCCCTAAAATCTTGTCCAAAACCCCAGTAATAGTAAAATATTCCATAACTTTTACAGCCAATAACTTGGAGTAGAATAGGCAGATCTGTGACGTACATTAGCAAAACTCTCAAAGATTCTTACACTCCAATCAATAATCCGGCTACCTTTTAAGATGATAACGGCAAATCCGTCCTATCCTGTGAAATAGTCCTATACAGACTGAGGAGGACTAGGATTTCGCAAAAGAGTAGCTTTAGTGTTTAAAACATATGTAAGGCTTAAAATTGATATCAGCGT